AATTCATAGCATACTTCATAATAGTTTTCAAAACCTGTGTGTCTTGTCATCCTAACTTCTTCATAAATTCCTCACAGGCAGGCTGTACTTTTGCAAGAGGGTGGAAGAAACCAGCCTCTCCCTTAAAAGTTCTCAGTTGATGTCACTGTTAATAGATGCCAAACCTGTTCTCTTTTTTTCAACTAGCTTTCTTTAAAACATCTCTCTTACCATCAGAACAGCCTAGAGGTGCTTCTGATCCTCGCTTATTCCTTTTCATTCCACCTATGCTTGACTGCATTTAGGAGTTAGCATCTCTGAAGGTCTCTCTGCTAAACTAAGACCTGACAATTAGTGCGGGCAGGTGATGCTCAACGGGATCGGGCTTCCAATGGTTCTCATTAACATTCTTCTTCTAAATAACTACCCCAGACGGTGGCAAAAGTCTGCTCTCGTCCCAGACTGACCCGTGGGCAAACAAACCATGAACTCTGGGTAGGTCAGCGATGTTTCTTTTTCCAGGCGAGTTCAAGGAGCCAGGAGCGCGCGTCTACCGATCCAGACTGTCGGTGGAGGCGTGGTGGAGGCGGGTCCTCCGGGGTCGGACCCGAGGAGGCGGAGCCCGACCCGAGGAGGCGGAGCCCGATGAGGCGGGGCGCGGGAGGGGCGTGAGGAGGCGGGACGGGGGCAGCGGGAGGCGGGACCTAGGGCGTACAGAGGCGAAAGGCGGGACGCGAGGCGCCGGGAGGTGGGGCGGCGCAGGCCGGCGTCCTCCGCGCTCCTCCCGCGCGCGGCCCCTGGAGTTCCCGAGGCTCGCGGTCAACCCAGCTCCGGCCCGCAGCACGCCGAGCAGTCCCGCGTCGGAGCAAGTGCGGGTCGGAGCCGGGGAGGGCAGCGGAGGACATCCCCCTCCAGGTCCTTTCTGCAGCCCCTGAGCAGCTAGGGCGAAGGTGAGGCTGAGCGGGGCCGAAACCATGAACCGGAGTTTTCATAAGTCTCAGACCCTGCGCTTCTACGACTGCGGCGCGGTGGAAGTCAAGAGCAAGGTAAGCCCCCCGAGGCCTGCCCTGGCGGTCTGCATCTCCTTCCCTGGCAGAGGAATTGGGTGCCCGGCGGGTAACTGCAGCGCTGTGGGAAGCAACCAGTGCTAGCGACAACTTTCGAAGTTCGGCGCTGCGCACTACTGCGCTGGGTCCGTGGGATGTGCACGCGGGACCCCAGCGTTCTTCCCGCCCCTTGCGCGGACACAAAGCCCAGCAGACCGGTGAGGTCCTGTCGGGGCCGTGGGCCATCAGACAGTCCGTGCGGACTCGGATCCCACTCCCCGAGAGCTGCTCCTTTGTTCCACGAGCAACCGGTGACCGGGGCGTGCCACACGTTGCCGGGGAGGGCAGTGTTTCCGGGGCGAACTAGGGGCTGGGGGCTGCTCGAATTCCGGGCCATGTAGGGGATCTAGGGCCCGAGCCGGAGAAGGGCCTTAGCTGCGCCACCTCCTAGGTCGTGAAGACTTATCACCCGTAAGAAGAAGGCTGGCGGTCGGCTCTCAGAGCAAGGCCCCGGACCAGCCCCTAGCCCCTAACCGGGCTGGAGGTACTAGATCTCAGGTCCCAGGCGCGTCCGTGCCCCAGTCCCTGGCCTACTCCAGCCCCCATCCCCAAGCATGCTCTCTACCCAGACACGTCACTGGTGCGTGCCCCCAAGTCAGACCCCCTCAGGCCTCGGGTGTGCCTCCGGCCCAAGGCACCCTCCCCGCCAGCTGCGCCCCCAACCCAGACTAAGACTCGCTGCCATGGAGCCAGACCCAGACCCCGACCCCATAGACATGCTGGGCTCTTCCTGCTCCCTTCGCCCGGCAGAGCGTGCCTGAACTTGCGGGTCGCTGTGCGTCTGGGTAATTGGCTGATAGGATCTGGCGCTTCTGCCCTCTGCGGAGGCGGGCGGCTCCTTTTCAGAAGCTTTTGTTTGGGAGGGCCGAAGTGGTGGGCCCCTTGAGGCCAGGAGGAGCTGCAGTGGGTCGAGGTCCAGGGCAGGGGATGGGGGCAGGGGTGCTGGTGGAAGAGGTTGGTCCTTTGGGAGCCTTTTGCTGACTAGTGACTGAGGGCCTAGTGGCCTCCACGCCCTTTCTGCCTTCATATCTCTGTTCTCTGTAAGGCAAGGGGGAGCTGCCAGAGGGATGGGAAAGGGATCAGGCTTTGGCCCGCCTCCCCCCTCCCCCACTCAATTAGGGTGCGTGGCCTCCCAGTCTGTGAGGAGGCAAGCCTCATCCTGGGCTACTTCGAAGCCCCCAAAAGTGAGGGATTTCCCGGTGTCCACAGGGAGGGAGGAGGGTGTCTGAGCAATGCCCAGGGTGACATGGAGAGACCAGTGCTGTGAGTTGCAGGTTTTCTTTCCTATTTTGGGAGAACACAGGCTTTTTCTGAATCCCTTATTTCTAATAAAATCTTGCACTTCCCCTGAATACTAATTCTCTAACCCTTGCCCCACACCTACCCCTTCTGCCCCCAAATCCCCAAATCCAGTGCACCAGCTATGGGGTTGTGAAGGAATAAATGAGAGGTTGAAGTAATTGTTTGGCTTCTTTAGCTCCATACAGAGGCCACTAAACAAAGTGGTATTTAAATTTTGTTTAACTTTTGTTTTGAGATCATTGCAGATTCACAAGAAGAGAATACAGACATCTGAGGACACTTTGCCCAGCCTGCCACATGGTGACATGTGTGACTAGTACCATGTCACATTTGTAGGACCCTGACTATGGATCTCACCAGGGTGCTGTGCACTCACTTGCATGTATGTATGTATGTAGATCTGTGCAATTGTGAGACTACCAGCACAGTCAGGGTACAGAGCCATTCATCACAAAGATTCTCTCTACTGCCTGCTTACAATATCTGCTTCATTTTCAGTATGAACTGACTGGTATTGAATACTCTGCTCTGTTGCTTAGTAGCCGTGTGGCAGCTCTGTGCCTTATCAAACACACAGCAAGGCCCTGGGACAGATCTGGAGGAAATGCCCTAGCACCCAGGCCTTGTCCTGTAGGCATTTTTGGGCTGAGGCCCTGTATAGGCTGCTGGGGAGTGGGAGGGGAGTAGGGATCTGCCTTTGCCTTTCCCAAGAGTGTTAACCCACCTTCTGCATTACACGGAGTCAAGTTTAGATGCTCCTCTAGAGATGAGTGGCAGAATCAGAGTATTGGTTGAACTTGGAATTCTTGGAAAGGACCACATGGACCTGAGTCCTGCAGAACCAGCCATCAGGCATCCCCCACCCTCTGCTCCCATAATAGAACCCAACTTACTGCTTGTCCAGAGGGTCCACATGGCTCTTCCTTCAGTACACACCCTTCCAAACTCCCCTTTTTTATTTAATATGTGTTACTATGGAGTCTGTCTCTGCTGGGAGCAGCTCTTGTCACATACAATACAAGAGGCAAAACTTCATGACAGTGAGCACTTCACACAATCTAAACATAGCACCACAGCACCACTAGTTTGTTTCTGGGAAAATGACAGCCAGAGAACTGAGTGCCACCTACTACTTTTGGGGATGTTGCCCAGTCTCAGCTCATCTGTAAGATAGGTATTATACCTGATCTGCTTAGCTTCCAAGATGAAATGTGACAACAAATGTGGGAGCACATTGAAAACCATAGGGTTCCCACGATCTTAAGAGTTCAGTAGGGGGAACTAGATCCTGTGTCATTTAAAGATTCATGGTCTGAAAACTGCCTTAGGTCCTCTCAGAATTATTGTCATTTGCCATAGCTGGTCAGTTCCTGGGCAAGATTGGGGAGAAGGGCTTTTTGCCTGGTGGCTTTTCCCCTTGTCCCCTCATACTTTCCCAAACTTCTTTAATTCCAGTGACTCATCTGCTCTTCCCCAAAACAGCAGTATGCAATTCATTTTTTTTTTTTTTTCTGGTACTGGGGAATCAAACTCAGGACCTTGCACTTTTGAGGCAGGCCTGGTGCCACTGAGCTAAATCCCCAGCCCAGACTTTTTTGGTTGAGGACTTTCTTTTTTTTTTTTTGCTACAGGAGATTGAACTCAGGACCTTGGGCTTGCAAGGCAGGCAGCAGCACCACTGAGCTAAATCCCCAGCTAAATCCCTGGAAGAGTATGCATTTCTGATTACCTGGTTCCAGCTGATTTTCCCACTTACTTTTGCCTTTTGCTTCTCCTGTAAGGCCTACAGACATGAAAGCAGAGGCTGTGCTACTGATTAGAGGAAAGTGTTTAAGGCTAAGAGAAGAAGGACAACTGCTTAGGGCTCCTTGAAAGGTAGCAGGAAGGCTGGTGCAGGGGTGAGGAGGGATCTGAAGGGGCTAGAGAAGTAGATGAGTTTTCATTTGAGAAGATAGGAAGCATGGCCATTATGAACTCAGTAAAGTCTCTCACTCTGACATCAGTCCCACCATCCTGTGTTTATGCTTGAAAACCTAAAGGAACATGGATCATCCTGTCTGAGAAAGGTCTCAACCCCACAGTCAAATGAGTTATGGCCCCAGGTTCCTTCCCATGCCTCGTGTTCTCAGTCCCCACCTTGTTCTTCAACATCAACCTTGTTCTTGTACATCATCCTTTTCTGACAGTCCCTAACACTGGGCCAAGCTTCCTCTGTCTGACCTTTTCTCTGCTCATCTTAGGCCACTTAGGGCACTTGTCATGATGCTTGTCCCAGAGTCCTGTTTTTAGGAGAGGATCAAGGACCCTGCTGACACCACACAAAGCTCCAAGTGTCCATGGTGTCTGCGAGAATAACACCAAAGGTTTTAGTCCTTCTTGGGCCTCCTTGTTTAAAGAATATCAGGGCATAGAGAGTGGTATGCATCATTGATAATCCCACTGTCCCAAGTTGAGCCACTGTTAAATGTTGCCTTGTAGCCTTCTGATCTGTTATGTGCATGTATGCATGTATCACATTATGGTTTATAGAATTAGAATCATGTAAACACATTTTTTTACAGCTAGTTTCCCCCTTCCAACTTGACACTATGTTGTAAATGTTTCTTCAGATCATTAATATTCTTTCTTTTTGTGTGTGTGTGGAACCAGGGATCAAACTCAGGACCTCACTGAGCTAAACCTCCAGCTGGATATTAATGTTCTTAAAAAGATATTTTTAAAAATATATAGTATTCTTTCTCATGTCTAAGCCATAATTAAACCAATATCTTATTTTAATTCCTTACAGTTTTTCCAATAATAAACAGTCCTGTGAATAACATCTTATTAAAGTTTTCACACACAAATTTATAAAACATGTACACATAATAGCTATATGAAGATTCTTGGTTCTGATAAATCAGTGCAGAACTCTTATTGCGTGTTTAGGACAAATTAGTAGAAGTAAAATTACTTGGGATATAGATATGCACTTTTGTTTTTTTGGTGCTGAGAATCAAACCAAGGGCCTCTGGCAATCTAGGTACATGCTTCAGCTCAGCTGCTTTTCCAGCACAGTGTGCACATTTTTAAGAGTTTAAATATATATTGTTAAATATTCTTCCAAGAAGTCTCTTCCACCAGTTGACATTTGCTGTTTGATATCTATTCATCATCTTTCTTTCCTCATCCCCTTATTCTTCCCTCCTTCCATCACTGGACATTTCCTCATTCCTTCCTGATTATGTAAGTAGAATGATATTCTTTTGTGTTAATCTGTATTTCCTGAGTTATTAGCAAATTGAAATTTTTAACTTGTGTATCTAACTGCCTGAGCTGCTTGTCCACAGGAAGTTTCCCATCAGTTCAGGTAGTACTGAGAAGGATTGGTTTTCAGTGTGGAATAGAGCTGGTGTTCTTTCCCTAGAGTGGCCTTGCCCCAGATATTAACCCAGACCCTTTGGAATGGTGAGTGTATGAGGAGCATCTTGTACCCTGCTCATCATGTACTGCCTGGCCAGATTCTGCTGGGGATTGCTGGGCACAAAGTGTTTGATGTCAAGCATGTCTTCCTGGTCCTCAAGATCTTATCACTGGCTGAGCTTGTTGTTGGCTGCCATGGTGTTGCAGGGACATGCCCTTCCACCTGGTATGAGACA